AAATTGAAGTGTTTGTTATACTCATATTTTTTATCTCACATTTTTTATTATCTTTATTACCTACAGTTGTCAATCGACGTGGTTGTAGGTAATAAATACTAATTGCATCAAACACTTTTTTACAAAAAAAGTTAATTTTCACATTTTTTTGGGTTGCAATTAAATTGATTACTGATTATCGAAAATTGTACTTTCAATTACTGACACAAATGGATATTTGATAAGGACCGACAATTGGTGCAGAGTTTAATAAATATTGAAATTGAAAATTGAAAATGTTTAGTCATTAATATGCATCACGTTAAGTGCAAAAATACCATTTGAAAAAGTTTTCCGTAAAATTTTTAATTTAACACAAGTGTTTCATTAAAATTTACAACTGCTACTAATGAATGAGTTAGATTTTAAATGTATTAATTATAAGAAAAACGAAATAAGAATTTGTCAATTTTTAGCTAACGCTTTGGGGTAAAGYTTCAAGAAACTACAAACTTTCGAGGTAAACTTCTTGCGTTGTTGACATAAACCATTGTCAACGGTATGAAATTCTTGTTTAATGAGTTTTAACAATTTAGATGAACAGGAAGATTCTTTACTGTAATTAAATTTTTAATTGATGGTTAAATTAAGAATGCATTTTAATTCGCTACCATATCAGCATTACAAAATGGATAATGCAACAAGTAAACTGCATTTGCCTCGTGTCAGCTTGTATAATAATTAACGGTGTAATGTTAACCGTTTTAATTGTTGTTTATGCCTTCATATTATTTTCATCAAACCTGAAAAATCCTCAAAAGAAATTTTCGAAGCAACTTTCTCTRAACGAAGAATAATCTCCGAAAKGAGTGGTCCCTTGAGGAGTTGTAAAAATATCAGTGTTTATTAGGATGGATTTAAAACCTCGTCACAAATTAATTATTCTATGTCACTTACAATGAACTTATTAAATAATACACGTAAGAATTTTGTTTAGTGTTTGTATTTTTTCTGTGAAGACTCATAAGGAAATATAGGTGCATATTTTACTTATGTTGTATTAATAAAACCTTTCAACATTGCGCTTTTGCAAAATATCCCGCTAAGACAATTAAAACTTACGAGCTCATAAATTACCTCACATTATGCTGCAACAAATTACTTATAAAATTATTTACAAGAATCGATTTTCCCGCACCATGTTGGGTCATTCGCCATGACGAAGTCAGTTAACTGTACTCATCAGTGATTGCAGCTAAATCTATACCATATCATTGCGATTATTCTTATCAAATCACATTTGTTTTATAAACGGTACACTATACGTGATGGCTTAATCGCGTTTRCATAACTTCACGACTTGAAAAATCGAAACTTGTATTTTATTCATCCTACKAGAAAATTGTGCATTTAACAATTTATATTTACTTTACGACCCATATTTTTCTACGATATGATAATCTTATAGAGGAGATTTGCATTTACATGCGTTGTAAATCTCGCAACATCTGCTCAGTGAAAGAAGCGAATTTGAAGCGTATGCGTAGAGACATTTAGATGAAGAAGTTTCACAACTCCAGGGGCGTTTGCTCTTCTTAATTTGTACCTCAAACAGCAAAGGTAGAATCTGCGAAAAATGATAAATATACGATAAATAACAAATCTGTACCCCAGAATAAAAATGTACTAACTCCAAATTTCTTTAAAATTGGGTTTCCACAGATTTATCTATTATTTTTTCCCAGTCTTCTGGTGCAAAACAGTATTAAATTCTATCTTTGATAGTTACGAAGATACGCATTTTAAATGATGTTAACTTTAACTTAACGTAACGGTTTTTAAAATTTTCAATTTGATGAATCTCGTATTTGTGGTTTTGTGACTAAGACCCTTAGTGATTTTCGTTGGAGAACGAATTTTCGTATTCTGTAAAAAAACTACTTTCGTTGAGTACCGATAATTTCGTTAAAAATTGTCGTTGACGAACGAAAACTCAATAGGTTGTAGTTGACTCAACGAATTAATATTTTGAGTTTTTATGAAATATGGGTCATATTTTAGATTATTTTCTCGTAGAATTGCAAAGAAAGTAATTATTATTTTATTATTATTGTATCACTGTTGCTGCTTTTCCTATTATAAAAATTTAAAACATCCTCGTACCTATTTTAGACAAATGTACGTACAAGCAGTTAATAAAAAAATTAAAAGACGCCAGCAGTCTCTTTAATACGTTTGATGAATTATTTTGAAGAATGTTTAGATTTACAAATACTCTAGCGCATGATTTTTTTTTTCTTAAAATTCAAGTTTTTTTTTTTAAATGGACAACGTAGCACTGGTACAATATCACTCACCCATAGTCCACGTAAAAAAAAATCGGAGAAAAGTTAGGTAGTTGATGGAGTGGGTAGTTGAAACTCATCTTCTTCTAAATAAAAATATAATGCTTTAATTTTTTTCCACCTAGCTGTCTTACAGAATCACCAAAAATCATTAATTTTTTCCGTGCCTTTCTTAGGGCAATGTGTTTCTCCGCTACAAATTTATTTTTTAAACTGGGAGTTGTTCTCCAACAAATCTAACTGTAGCTCAAATTGTTGAATGGTTGTTTTAGATTTTTTCTTCTTTTTGTCGATGCGAGCCCTTTTTAAACTTTAATAAACTTACATTGTGACATCAATGACGTTTTGAATAAATACTAGCGAATTAAAAATATTGACWTTTCGTTGAAAAAATGTGTAAGGTCGTTCCCTTAACGATAAGGTTACGAAATAYGAAATTCAAACATGTCGTTACAACATTCGTTGAAACCCATTCGTTCATTAACGAAATCGTTTATGAACAAAAAATTAGAGAATAAGGGTCTTAGTACACTTTTATTCTTGGGTACAGAAATGCATTATTTGTATTCTAGGGTGATTCAGGAATGTCGGATCAACTCTCGAATGGTGATAGGAAACTTTTAGCTAAGCATAAAACTGAATTGAGATTTTTATTTCAAGCTTTTTTTTTGAAAAAAAAAACAGAACTGTCAATTTTCATATTATCATGTAGGCATCTTAGTTTTTTTTTTTTTGTTTCCGATATCGTTAGATTTAATTTATTGTTGAAACTGCTAGTTTATTCTTAAATGTTTTTTTACACCATAAAACACAAATTGATGATTTTATCAACAGGTATCTATTCAGTATTACAAGATCTGCCGTTTCCGCTATCTAAATTCAAAATTACTTAATCAGAAGGGTCAAATACTTCTAATCTTTGAAGAGTTTTATCTCGTGAAAAAAAAAACAATTTTTTGTCGTTTTTTGTCAACTCAGTTGGATGTCATTTATCACCACCCAAGAGAGAGTCCGACACTTTTGAATCACCTTGTATGTAGAATTTTTTCTATAATTTTTTTTCGTTCAAAATGTTTTAATATCTTGCTCAACTACTCAAAAATTGAAGTAGATRTTAACAACAGGGTGTCCCAAGAGTAATAATGAGCCTGAAAAATTTGTTGAAGCAACCAACATTACATTTCAAAGATAACATAGTGATCAAACAGCACACTTCAATTTTAATTCATAAAAAGTTAAACCTTGGAGAATTTAGTGAGAATTACTAAGATTTGTTGAAAAGACCAACAAGATTCTCATTTATGAAAAATATTTGAAAAACGTTTCTATCCAGAGCGATATTCAAATAGACGGACTTTCTAAAACTAAAGTAGTCATTTTGACTGATAGAAATTTGTCAAAAATAAAAATACAATTACTATGTTTAACTAATTAAAATGAAATATTTTAATATCCACGTTATCTATGAAATGTAATGTTGGTTGTTTCAAAAAAAATTCAGGCTCATTATTACTCGTGGGACACCCTGTATATTTCTAAAATTCGCAATTAAAATGCATGTTAAAAGAATAGCAGTACATACTGACAATAGACACGATTTCGAAAGTTTATTTTGTGTTTTATTTTATATTAAGTTTTATGCCTTTTTTTTCTTAAACGAAAATATGCACGGTTTTAGGTACAATAAATAGGTACATACCTCAAACCATATCTCAAGACTTTGTTTGACAATGATAATGAGTCATTTAAGTAGAGTATGAGACCTAATAAGTCCCCCACGATACTAGGTTTTTATAGAAACGGTGAAAATGTCAGAATTTGCATTTTTAGGAGTTAATTCTTTTATTAATTTTTCATTTTATTTGTAGTTTTTTCATTGATTATTTTCCCCATGTTTGACTGAGAATGGAAATTTATTTATTGCAACTGTTTTTTTTTTAATTTAATATACACTGAATTAAAATAATTAAAAAAAAATAAAAATATTTCCTAATATGCACTTCAATTGTTGAGCAGTTTATTASCAAATTTGTCATTTTTCTTATTTATTAATTTTGATTTTTATATAGGGTAAAAAATAATTTATCAAAAGATGACGCTACAATTAAAAAWTAATCTGTAGATAATAATACTATATTATTGAAAGGTAAAAAACACTTATCTTAAGCGAAATAACAAAATGCAACCGATCCTGTTAGTATTAATTTGTTTAAAGTAAAGAAGTTTTGACATACGAGTATAGCTTATGACCTTCAGTAGAAAAAGTTCTTATGGAATTACAACAGAGAAAAAAATGGTTTAGGTAGGTATGTTTAATAGACGTATCTGCTGTTTTGTATTATCATTTTTCTATAAATCAAAAAGCTACACGTGTGTATGTATTTTGGTACCTACATTGCGTTTTCTGTATGGTACGAGTATAAAAAAAGGTTTGAGTCTCTGGGTCCAGTTCTAGCTACATTTATTATTTACTTTTTAATTTGATCTTGMAGCAAATCGCTATCTGGTATGAATAGTCCATTAGGTCTCATGACAATTTATGTCTAAAAATACCTCCGATCGTAGGCGTGTTCATAGGCGGTGAATTTAAACGAAATAAACACTATCTCCTCCGATTGATTTAAATCCCGACCATAAACGCRTCGATTAAATTAAACCGGCTTATTCTTGTTGCAGATCCTCCCGCGATGATTCTAAACCCTCAACGATGGAATTGAGCCAAGTGTCGGCGTTGGAAGCTTCAAGGAGTGGCAGAAGCCCAACAACAAGCCCCGACACGATGTAACTCCAAGACTGACTTTCCAATGGGTGCCAACATGGGCAAAAACACATCGCTGCTTGATGCGTTGCCATCAGGTCAGGGCACCCTCCACGTGGTGATGCTAGGCTTAGACTCGGCGGGCAAGACCACCGCCCTTTACCGCTTAAAATTCGACCAGTACCTGAACACAGTTCCAACGATAGGCTTCAACTGCGAGAAAGTGAAAGGCATGATGGGCAAAGCCAAAGGCATCAACTTCCTCGTGTGGGACGTSGGCGGCCAGGAGAAGTTGCGCCCCCTGTGGAAATCATACACTCGGTGCACGGACGGCATTGTGTTTGTTTTGGACAGTGTGGACGTGGAGCGCATGGAGGAGGCCAAGATGGAGTTGATGCGGACGGTCAAAGCCCCGGAAAACTCCGGAGTGCCCATTCTTGTGCTGGCCAACAAGCAGGACCTGCCGGGGGCGCGCGAACCGCGGGAGTTGGAGAAGCTRCTGGGCTTGACGGAGTTGGGCAGTGGGGGCGGCCATCTGTGGCACGTGCAACCGGCCTGCGCCATCACCGGGGACGGCCTCCAGGAGGGCTTGGAGGTCCTCTACGAAATGATTTTAAAAAGACGGAAGTTGGCCAAAATGTCGAAGAAGAAGACGAGGTAAAAAGTGCTTCGGTAGTCAATGTACATTTTTTAATTTGTTCCGACTTTCGGTGCAGTGTTTTCTCTAATAATAACAATGCAGTATCAAAATTAGATTAGTGAGACTTTCGACACGTCCATTTTGTTGTTTTATGGAAAACCCCTCTGTGATATTCTTATTGAAAACACTGTTGTACAAGCCAGAAGCTTGCCTCTTTCGAAATAGTGAGTGTTTTATATCAATTTTGAGAAACGGCTAGGTTTTTTAAATCCCTTGTTATGAGAAACGACAAATTCTAAAGTGTAAATAGGTAATTTTGTAAATTTGGGTTCTTTCGATAGTTCACACAGCACAAAGGAGCGATTTCTCCATTTTTAACGTGTTTGCATCAACAATAGTTATTACATGTATTCTCCTATGCAAGAATCCACTGCGATTTGTTAAGGTTTTACCTTAATTATAGTTTGCACGCTTGAAAGTGAAACGATGAGTATTATATCATTGTATAATGAGAAAGCAGTGTGAAAATATACCCAGATGGTTCCCATACGCTTTATTACGTCGAAATGTGCAATTCTAGATCATAAATAACTATTTTCTTGAATAGAATTGACACCCATCACTTCTTCCACTCAAACAATGAGAGTCTTATTACAATAAATTAATATAATAGAAAAGTCTGAATACTTCCAAGTGCATTTTTGTTGTCTCCTCCCACGTGACAATTCGATTCAAGAGTTTAGTTGTATTACCAGAACCAAAGGTGCTCATTTATTTATAAGTAGTTTTAGTTATTAGTTATTACATTAAATTGAGAAAAATGATCGGCTCAAGAAAACATATTTTCCCTGAAGAGACATCGAGACAATGACTACAAGCCATCCAGTTCTTGTAAAGTGTGTTATATTTTCAATTTAAAGTAATAATAAATCGGACGACCAATACAAACCACCATATTGTTCGATATCGGCCTTCACCCAAAATTTTGCAATTAGTGTGTTACCGGCCCTACCCTCTCCCGTTATTTTGTTGTTATTACTGTCCTATTTAATGTTAAATTAATATTAGAATTGTATAACCAGAATTATTATTCCTGTTGCTCGCCATGTTTATATAACGTAAATCTGTAAATATGTACCTAAATGTAATATAATTTCTAAATATTATTAAACCATATTTGTTTTATAAAAGTTTGGTTTCATTTCTGTTCCTTGCTAGAAGACGTTTTCAGCTAGTCAAGCACAAAACACGGTCTGAATACAAGTTTTAATAATTGACTACCTGCTGCTTTACAAGAACCAACCATCTGCTCCACGCATTCAAGTCGGGATATTATATCACGACGCTCAGTGTTCAGCTTGAAAAAAGCTTTACTTTTTCAGCAAAGCAGTGGCGGCGGAGGTTAAAATCACACCCAAAATATACACAAGCTCTAGGAACTTATTACAAACAAAGTAAACATCTTATCATCGGGAATGTAGTTTTAACAATGAGAAGGATTATGTACTCGGATAATTAGTCTAAGTCGAGGCAGGGACCAAGAGATTACCTATCTCAAATGTTAAGCTAAGATTTTAAGCAGGGTGTGTGAGTTATAATTAATTCCGATAGCAGTAAATCATAAAACAATATTAAAATTATTAAATAAAACTGTTTTCCTGTATTTTATCGCGTTTTTATTTACGTACTTATAATTGTAATTCCACGTTTGATTGCCCCACGTAAAATTTAATAAGCTTGTTAATATTTTATAGCAATTTTATTGTTTCCTAAATGAATTGGAATTTTCCACATGATGGATTCCTGCCGACATTTTATTATTTTAATAAGAATAGCTACTGATGAATCAGTGTTACAGTCCTAAAATTTTATGGCGAGTGAATAATTCAAAAATAATTCAGTATTTTAAAAATAAAAACCACATTGACCACGCAAATGTTCGAACAACAAAGCAAAAATCGTGCATTTATTTATGTCTGGTATGTTTGTGTTTAAAAAAACCTTTTACGAATTAACATTTTTTAGAAGCCACAAATTTTTTTAAAATTTTTACTGAACTATTAATATTTATTTTAATAATTTTACTTCAATTTGAGATGTGAAGAAGGTGAAAGGGTAGAATAAGCAAGCTATTATTAAAAATTGACTACTGACTGGAGCAAAAAAGAGATTAAAAAATTTAATTTTAAAATTATTATCTTTTCTTGTTGTCATTTTATTTAGTTAAAATTATGGGATTTACACCTGGTGTTACTTATTGACCGAAGTTTTGCTGACGTAGCTCCATAATGTAAGAATATTTCTTTAATTAAAACAATTAGAAATTTATAAAAAGTGAGTAAAAGCTCTTAAAGAAAATTTATCAATAAACCGAAAGACGTAAACATGAGAATTATAGCTTAACACTTTTTTTATTTTAGATAACTAATTGCAAATTTACTTTTTAGTCGTTTATTTACGATAAGAAAACTCAACTTAATGCAATAAATCATGCCTATGATTTTAAGAAAAGAACCAAACTTACAGCTTGTTTAAGCTTCTGAGCTTTTAATCCCAACAAATGCAGTTTTTATACCATTGTTGGCATATTTTTTTAAAAAAGGAAATCAATATTAATATTAGATTTAGAAAATCGTTTCTAATTTACTTTTATGAAGAAGGTAGGTATGTCAGGTGTTAAACGACCCTAAAATAAGTTTTACACATAAATAACTAGAGGGCTAAAAATATAAACACCCCATCTCAAGAACATTAAAATGAGGAAGTATATAATATATTACTGTCAAGGAGGGGGTGAATTTATAAACTTTGCCTAAAATAGATAATTAGTAACCCGTTTGCAACGCCGATAAGTAATTAAATATGCTTTAAAAACAAGATTTTTTTAATAACAGCATTAAAAAACAGACAATAAAGTTACAAATATTGAGGTAGGACTATTTACCTACTCGTGCATAGAAAAAGAAAAAAAAACAGAATAGGCGGTAGATATATCAAATTAGTTCAAAAGCATATTTGATTTAATTAATATATGACTTTTTATACTTTATTCATTGATATTGAAAAAAAAACAGGTTTAGTTATATCAGCATGTGCCTTAAACGTGTTTCTTAGCATGGGAGACTTCGTCCACATTGAAAAAGGTGTTACTTAATAATTATTTTGCACTAATTTTAATAATCAACAAACAATTTGATTACTTAGTGTCATATTAAAAAAAATAATAAGAGTGATAAGAGCTAGTGGGATAGCCCTATAGGCTCTCTTGCGTGACTTATATGTAATATAATACTTCTACTATAAATAATTATAAACTATATCATCTTACTTTTGTTCAATTTCCAAATCTAGGTGGTCGCATAGCTGATTTGAAAAATTTGGGGAAATAAAAATTATATTCTTCCCTAAACTATAGAATTTTTTTATATACCACCAAAATAACTATTTTACTATAATTAATCTATACAAGGATTTTTTAAATTAATACCCACCATCGCCGTCTCCATAGAAATAATCCTTTTCTCGCCTGGGCATTTTTTGAGTTCAACTGATTCCCGTTGGCACTTTAATCTGGGGAAATTTTTTGACATATCCAATTTTTTAGCTTAAAGGGTTCAACTTCATAATATCAATTCTCCCCGGCCTATCTGGTTTTGTTGTATCCTTCCTTCCCAGCTTTTATTAATTGCGTTATTTTTCGTTAATAATTAAAACTCATTCAGTTTTTCCTTAGTAACTCCCGTAACTAAGAAAATGCATTTTTTACGAAATGCCCAGGCGGAATACTGATACGACAGGCCAAGTGTGCGACAAAGACATGTATATTGAAATTTACTTGGCTGTTTTTAGCGATATTTTTGATCCAATTTTAAATCAAAATGTTGAATGTTGGCGAAAATTTTAAATGTCTTTAAAACGTAATTCAATTTTTTTGAAAAAAAAATTATTTAACTTTTTTATTCAAATTTTATATAAATATTCATAATATTTAAAAAAAAAACGCCTAGGGGAAAGATGTACTGTGATGAAACGAATAGAATGCGACCAAAAACCTGAAAAAAATATTATTAGTTTTTAACGAAACGGGAGTATTCATTTTACTTTGACAAAATTTTCCGCCTGAATATCCTCATTGAAGGGCGCTCTTTAGAGTGGGGGGATACCTAAAAACTTGAAATAGTTGAAAGCTGTGAAAGATACGCGTTACATTCAAATAAAAAAAATACTTAAGTGGAACAGAAAGTAATAAATAAATGTCATAACTTTTTAAAAGTAAAAAAAATTTGAAATAGAACAATTTTTTTCTAATTTTTTTTTTAATTCTTATTCTGTTTTCCTTATTTTCATTGACTTACATAGCCTAGGTTCTAGTATTTCTGATACTAAGGCCTTTTGGTTAAAATATTTTATCTTGGGTAAATTTTTTTCTCATAATGTGGGACCGGAAAAATATATTGTTCTGCCCATAAAATAATATCACAAATTTTTTTATTGGTGACCCGTAATTGAGTTTGGACCTGGTAATAATAATCGTGTTGTTTTTTCAATTTATTGTTTTTGTCTAGACAAAAATGAGGACTATCTCTTATGACTTCTTCGATGGTTTTATTTTTTGCAAAAAAAGGACATTGATAGAAAAAGGAAACTGAAATATTCTAAAATTCTTTGAATTTTTCTGTGGTATTTGTGAAAATAGAATAACGATAAAGTTGATAGGTTTTGAATAATGAACAGTTTAATAAAATAGTGATACCCACCATTTTAGTTATTTAATAAACATGTATTTTTTAAAGATTTCTAATTTGTAGCCAATTAAACCAATTAATTTGAATTTATGAACGCCCAGAGATCAAAAAAATGTAGCTATATCTTTTCCCTTAATAATAATAAGTCCACTTAAGTTTTATTTTTTGCAAGAGTTATACAGTCCATCAAAGGGGATAAAGACAACGAACGACATGCCACCATACACCACATAAATCAAAGGCTGCGTGATCTCATTCCCGATATGATAGTCGTCAAATATTTGTATGTCGTGATGTTGAAACTAAAAAATCGCTGACGATGACGGTTGAAAGCCAAGTTGTCGTTCCATTACCGATCGAGAGAAAGAATTCATAAGGGATCAACCTGATGGCAGCAAAGAACCGCCATCAAGCCGTGAGATAACACATTTGGATTTTTGCTGTCCCACCTATTAGCGTCCATATATGGCAACGGTAAATTAATACCAGCGATGGTTGTGCGGAGGTGGAATGCAAGAAGCAGATTTGCTTTCTAGACCAATGCTGTTGAATTAATTAGCAATTAACTCGGGTAGTTAATTAAATGCACGTTTAACCCCTCGTGTATTTTTAGATTCGTGTGAGTTAATTGCAAGGTCTTTGTCGCGGTCGGGGGTGGCTCGAAACCCTCATCTCGTAGAAATACACTAACCCAGTTGCCTCCGGATCAATACCCGCATAAAGCGCACTCTGATCCAGGTTCGACGTTGCTTCCAACCCTTGGCCATGGACATGTGACTAGTGATACATTAATCAGAGACTGGCCATGTTGACTCAAATTTTGCCTTGCTAATTTAATATGATGCCCAGAGATGGGGAGAAATTGGATCGTTTTTAACACGCCTACGCAATGAGCTCCAATCGAATTTTATCAAGTGCTTCGTAAAGTCTAGACTTTAATTATTCTAAGCTGTAATCCCCGATTTTGCATATTGTAATTTTTTGGGCTAAATTTTTGACATGCTCTATATACTTGGAAAATCTGCTCTGAAAGTTAGCTGGAAAAATTGGTTCCTCTAAAAAACGTTCATTCATTTAATTAAAATAGTTAAGTTATATGGCTTTGTAGTATAAGGGCTCTCCATTTACTAGAGAAAACGAAGTAAAGGTATATAAACTAAGGCTCGGATTATATGCACGAAAAATTCGTAAAATATGCGCATATATATGCAGTTATGCACGTATTTTTACAAAAATATAATAATAATACAGGATATTAAGAAATATGCTCCAATATATGCCAAATATGCATTGATATGCAAAACTTTTAACAATAAAAAATCAAAGTTGGGACAAATTTTTATTCTCGACTTTGTACTATCGATATCTTGAACGGAAGATAATAAATAAATTGATTTTGCCTAAGACAAGCCATTTTAATAACCTAGTAATTAACCTTTTCTAAG